CATTTCAGCATAGCCTACAACAAGAGGGATGTGGGTGGCCTTACTGTTATGTACATTGAAATGCCAAACAGTGGAGACCCCTCGTTTAACAATATTTTTTCACTCCAGAATTATGTTCAGTAAGTGTGCCCCCAGTACTTGAACCGGCAACTTTGTTCCCATAAGAGAATATTATTGAAGGTGCATGATTAGTTCCATTCAGACCCCCAACATAACACGTACAACGCACTATAACTTTAATTGTCACATTCGGAGGTAACCTTTATGCGGGGGTCCACTGTATATGTTCAAAATACCACACTTGATCCACTTCGCAAGGTCAGCGTGTGAAACAAGCTTTTATGCCACGAGACGGGCAAAAGCAGCAACTTCACCTCTAGCTTTACCCCTCTCCAGAACATCAGTACATCAGAGATCATACATACCGGCATGCATACTAGACTCGAGTATGGAACACAACTCGTACAGAGCAAAATGATGTCAACGAGATAAATTCAGTGATCAAATGAAAATGCTGGCCCACTAGAATATTCTCCAACCTTCATCCTGTTCCCTACTTGTATGTCCATAACAAAAAAAAAAGTCTTTCAAATGAGCTGATGTAGTAACAGGCTCTTAGCATTCCAATAAAGTTAGGAACGCCTTAACCTGTAGATAAGCTTGTCAATAAGAGGCTAGGGAATCCATAAACTTGTCAAAAACCCTGTGTAAAAAAAAAAAAAAAAAAAAAAAAAAAAAAAAAAAGAGAGAGAGAGAGGAGAGAGTGGAGACGAGTGAGCAAGCCCATGGCGTGTGCATGACACAATAAAACACAAACACACCCCTATTCAATTCAGAGGAATTTATAGACTATTTTGGAAACAGGTAACTTGAGGGTACAGCGTGAAAGAAAAGACACAGAGTCACAGAGATGTCAGCAAGTATTTTTCTTCATCATCAGTTTGGTCTGAAAGTGGAATGACCCCTATGAAAAGGTGGTGGAGGCAAACTCATACATAGTTTTAAGAATAGCTAATGGACAAATCACAAAAATATTCTTAAATTTTTGGCCACGCATATAAGCTAGTTCATGTAAATGGATGAACCAACAGTTATAAAAAGCCCACACAAGTGAAACAGACTGTGCACAGTAATTACATGCATAAATTGCCAATGTCCATTGTTCAAAGGAAGAACTGTGTAAAAGTTTGTGCCTGGGCTGACCTGCTGTACAATGGCACACTAAAAAAGACTGTAGTCTTAATTTTAAAATGACTTTAGATAAATTTCCCAAGGCCAACATAGCACATGAACTCCATCTCTCAAAGACAATTTAGTATTAAACCTTCTCATCTGATAAAAAAAAGCAAAACGAAGGTGCTAATGCACTAATTGGTTAAGTAAAAAGCATTTGGTGAAAAATCACAGTACTGATAAATTGCTGTCCCAAATTCTGCAATGGCAACTTTGGAAACTAAGCATTACAACCATAATATTCAAAATTATATTTGGTGTCCTGATATGAAAATAATTAGAGAGAAAACAAATGGCTCTTTTCTTTCCAAACCAGGGAAAAGAGAAAAATTCTGGGCGCCCCACAATTTCTTCCCATAGCTAAAATAAAGCAAACCATGCAAATCTTTCAGATAATATTCTTCTCAAACTTATCTTGATTGCATTGGACAGTTTCTTTATATGCTCTATGCAGTGCGACATTTCCTCATGGTCTGAAGAACAACTGCTCTAATCTTAAAGAAAAACGAAAAGATATATATAATAATTACATGAGGAAGTAGAGAGAGAGAGAATCCTTCCATAAGTAAGCTAAGAGCCAGCATGTATTGTAATAGATGCGACTAAATGCTTGGAGTAAGGAGCTTAGTAACCCCTTCTGTGTAAATTTATTAAAAGTAAAAAGAAAAACCTTACGTGTCTTCTTTTTCTCTTCGGTCAACCTTCCTCCGGTGCAAAGCTTTCCTGCAGATCCTTGTTCAATTGTTGCTTCTTTCCATGCCATACCTTGAACAGATCACCAACCACCAATCTAAATCCCTTCTCCCGGTTTTAACAAAACAACTTAATGTCTTACATCCTGCCTATGCCCAGCTCCTTATCTCGGTGTACTCCTTCTATCCCAATTCCACCTCTAAAGCTCTTCCATACACCTAAGTGGATTCATTGGCCCTTGCATGTAATCATGGCCTCTTTTTAGCCAACATTTAACAACTTGATATATTCTAACCATCTACAGCAATTTTCCCCTCCTTTTGTTTTTGAACTGTCAATACTTTCCTTCACAGCTATCATTTAAGTCTGGCAAAATTTGGCTGGCAAGATTTCATTTCATTCTCATCCTGGCTCGCCCTTTGTAATTCCCCAAACTACTGCAACCTCGCTGTCCTCTCTCTTCAAATATTTTTGCCTTTGTATATAATTTGTACCATTAGAAAAAATCCCTCTAGCAAATTTTCAATTTTCACACCCATACCTACCATAATTTTGTTTCAATCATTTCACTACCTCCACTCATATCCTCCTACCACCCTCCACCCACCCATCATAAAGGCCACAAACTTCTGTTGGGAATACCTAGCACTGTGCATTCCTTAATTTTACTCCATACCCCACATTTCATTCAACATATGCTTATCACTTCCAAAAACTGTCTCTCCTTCCCTCTAGTTCATATACTTTATTTCTTTCTTACCACTCCATGCACCTCATCCCATTCTCCCATCCTGCCGCTTACTCTTATTCCCTCTTATTAAACGTTGCTTTACCGCTAGATAATGCTCAAACATATCAATCATTCCTCAACAAACATTCACATATCACCTTTTATTTTACTAATAGATTCTAGCTAAGAAGTGCTGTCATTTGCATTTACTATATCATCCCATCTTATACTTATTTTCTTTTCTCTTTTAATAATTACACACTAAAATCTAATTATTAAAGGAAGTCTAACATAGATGCAATTAAAGTCCTTCCATTATTATTACCTTTGGAACTCTCCAAATTTACATCAACAACTCCAATTACAAAATATTAGGTCCCCCCCACAACTATTACTCCTCACCTGGTTAAACACTTAAAGCACCCTAACATGTGTTTAATACCTCTCAAAAATCCTCTCTCTGCTCCTCTCTCTCTGGTCCTTAGCACATTTCCCTCCCCCACTTATTCTCACTTAACTTCTACCTCCGCCACGGTTACCCCAAATCCACAATCATTCTTGTATCTTTTTTTGTATAAAAAAATTTTTTCTTTTTTTTTTTGTATGTAACTGATCCCTTTGAAAAGTATACTTAATATAGCTCTAATTGCTCCACAAACACTTGGATTTAATCCCATTTACTCTCACACTTGAAGATGTTCCCCCCCCCCCATCGCCTGCTTTTTTTAGCATTGTTTTACTTAGTACTGAGGACATCTATCTTCTTTCATTCATAAATAGTCATCTGACTTTTTAGTATCCAATATAGAAAAGGGGATCACTGCTGTTAGTTTTGTGCCATTTTAGGTCACATTACACATTACATATTGAGGAAGGATACTAAACCCTTATTCTTCCCATGTAATTTAAATTAATTATTATTAAAAATTAAATTAAGACCTAAATCCACAAGGGTCATGGATTTGAAAGGAAACACTAAAAAAAACTCAAGAAACATTACAAAAATTTAGAAGAAAAACTCAAGATAACATGCACACCGTAATAAATGCACCGCGCACCATCACATACGGATTGTAATTCTGGGGGGCAGTAAGTGGTATTGCAAGATTTACCTCTTGAACACAAGAGATCAAGCATTCCAGGCTAGTGTAAAAACATTGTAAAAATTTCCATTTAATTAATCATGAATAGTAGAAATTGCATACGAATACAGTCTCCATCATATTTTAGTACAAGAACAATCCAGGGACAGATAAAAGTCAAAAAAAATTCCATATTAAAACAAGTAACATTATGCTGTCAGATAATTGTGGTTAACATACCTTCAAACAATTTCAAACATGGCAATTAGATTCCAATGCAGTAATAAAAATAAACATGCACACAATTCGGCTATGATAAAAAGTAGATAGTAAAGTCTAAAGGAAAACCCATCGATAAGTAAAAAAAAAAATATTATCTTATATAATATACAATTACAAATTCTTATTCCTTTGTTTTATTTTCTTTGTTTTTATTTTCCTTTCTTAAAGGTTTATCTGCTGTTAGCTCATTCCCCCTCTAAATCGACAGGATGGGACCACCTCTACTAGTAGTCAAGAGAAGGCGGACCTCTTTGCTGAACACTTTGCTACCAAAATGCAAGTTCCTGATCCAGCAAGGGATCCTCCTTGGCTAGCTGCAGAAACTGTGTCAAAACTGTCAGTGGTGACAATAAGGCAGGAGGGGTGCATTTCCTTCTTAAATCGCTTGACCAAGAAAAGGCTGTGGGCCCAGACAAGTTGAGCCCAAGATTGTTGAGATGTGCAGACCAGCTAGCAGCACCTCTAACTCGATCTTTCAGCACTCCCTAGTACAGTGTAAACGGCCCTCTCTATGGAAAGAGGCGAATGTAGTCCCTGTTCACAAAAAGAAGAGCAGAGCAGAAATCAGCAACTACAGACCAGTGTCACTCCTGTCAATCACTGGTAAGATCCTGAGGACAATAATCTCAAGACAAATGACAGAGTTTTTGACTACCACTCACTACTTTGTGATCGTCAATATGGCTTCAGGAAAGGTTACTCTGCTGCTGATCTGTTGTTAAACCTCTCCACTAAGTGGCACCAGTCACTGGAGGGAATCCAAAGTCAGCTGTGTGGTAGCACTGGACATTGCTGGCACTTTCGACCGGGTGTTGGCACCAGGGCCTCTTAGCAAACTTCAAGCACTGGGAATTGCAGGCTCTACGCTATGTCTCCTCAGTGATTACCTTCATGGTAGATCTCTAAGTGTAGTTCTCAATGGAACGGAATCAGCAAGACATCCTATTGGGGCAATGTTTACAGGAAGCGTGCAGGTCCATTGTTATGGAATGTCTACTTCAACGACCTTCTTCATCTCATCCCAGAATCACATGCATATGCAGACGACTGTACACTGACATTCACTTATCCAAAAGAAGAAATGCCAGCTGCTCTAAGCTACATCAATCACCAGCTGAGAGCTATATCAGCTTGGGGAAATAGATGGCAAGTAACATTTGCACCTCAGAAAACGCAAATGATGATCGTCTCTAGGCACCATGATGGTTATGCTGGTGCAGTAGTAAGGATGAATGGGAAGGTGTTGGCACCTGGAGAAGAAGTTGATATCCTTGGGGTGAAATTTGACTCCAAACTAACCATGAAGTAAATCTTGCAAACAAGGCAGCCAGGAAGCTTACAGCACTTCGCAGTATCTCGCATCTGCTTGACAGTAGGGGTTGCAAGATCCTGTACGAGGCGCAAGTACGCTCACACCTTGAGTATGCTCCACTTTCTTGGTTTGCCTGCCCCCCTCTCATCTGCGACTGCTTGACAGAGTAGAGAACAGAGCAAGACGTCTCATCTCTCGCCTGGACCCATCCTGGATAGATCTGTCATTTCAGCAGAGCCTTCAACATAGGAGGGATGTGGGTGGCCTTACTGTTATGTACAAGGCCAATACAGTGGACCCCCGGTTAACGATATTTTTTCACTCCAGAAGTATGTTCAGGTGCCAGTACTGACCAAATTTGTTCCCATAAGAAATATTGTGAAGCAGATTAGTCCATTTCAGACCCCCAAACATACACGTACAAACGCACTTACATAATTGGTCACATTCGGAGGTAATCGTTATGCGGGGGTCCACTGTATTGTCAAAATACCACACTTGGATCCACTTCGAGGACAGCGTGAAACAAGCTTTTATGCCACAAGACGGGCAGAAAGCAGCAACTTCACTCTGGCTGTACCCTTCTCCAGAACATCACTACATCTGAGATCATACATACCCAGGATGACTCGAGTATGGAACACACTCGTACAGCATAATGATGTCAACGAGATAAATTCAGTTGATCAAATGAAAATGCTGGCCCACAGATGGCTCCAACTTCATCCTGTTCCCTACTTGTATGTCTCTTAACAATAAAAATGCTTTCAAATGAGCTGATGTAGGTAACAGCTCTTAGCTTGCCAATAAAGTTAGGAACCCTTAACCTGTAAATAGCTTGTCAATAAAGCTAGGGATCCTTAACCTTGTCAAACCCTGTGTAAAAAAAAAAAAAAAAAAAAAAAAAAAAAAAAAAGAGAGAGAGAGGAGAGAGGGGAGAGCGAGTGAGCAAGCCATGCGTGTGCATGACACACAAACACACCCCTATCAATTCAGAGGAATTTATAGACTATTTGGGAAACAGGTACTTGAGGGTACAGCTGAAAGCTAAAGACACAAGTCACAGAGATGTCAGCAAGTATTTCTTCAGTCTCAGGTTGGTCGGAAAGTGGAATGACCTCAATGAAAAAGTGGTGGAGGCAAACTTCATACATAGTTTTAAGAATAGCTAATGGACAAATCTCAAAATTTTCTTAAATTTTTGGCCAAGCATATTAGCAGTTCATTTAATGGATGAACCAACTGTTTATAAAAAGCCACACAAAGTGAAACACTGCACAGTATTTCATGCATATTGCCATTGTCATGTGTTCAAAGGAAGAACTGTGTAAAAGTTGTGCTGCTCCTCTGGTACAATGGCACACTAATAAAAGAATGTAGGGCTTAATTTTAAAATGACTTTAGATAAATTTCCCTAGGCCAACATAGCACATGAACTCCATCTCAAAGACAATTAGTATAAAACCTTCTCATCTGAGAAAAAAGCAAAACGAAGGTGCTAATGCACTAATGGTTATGTAAAAAGCATTTGGTGAAAAATCACAGTTCTGATAATTGCTGTCCCAAATTCTGCAATGGCAACTTTGGAAACTAAGCATTACAACATATTATTCAAAAGTTATTTGGTGTCTGATAGGAAAATAATTAGAGAGAAAACAAATGGCTCTTTTCTTTCCAAACAGGGAAAAGTAAAATTCTGCCCCCACATTTCCCATAGCTAAAATAAAGCACCTGCAAATCTTTCAGATAATATCCTTCTCATACTTATTCTTGATTGCTTTGGACAGTTCGTATATGCTCTATGCAGTGCGACATTTCCTCATGGTCTGAAGAACACTGCTCTAATCTGAAAGAAAGATTTATATAATAATTACATGAGGAAGTAGAGGAGAATCCTTCCTATGTAAGCCATGCATGTTGTAAGATGCGACTGAAATGCTGGAGTAAGGAGCTAGTAACCCCTTCTGTGTAAATTATTAAATGTAAAAAGAAAAACCTTACGTGTCTTCTTTTTCGGGTCAACCTGCCTCGGTGCAAGCTTTCTGCTGATCCTTGGGTACATTTGCTTCTTCCATGCATACATTGAACAGATACACCAACCACAAACTATATCCCTCCCGGTTTTAACATCTTAAGTCTTAATCCTGCCTATCCCAGCTACTTTATCTCGTGTACTCTTCCCATATTCACCTATAGCTCTTCCTTACCCTAAGTGATTCATTGCCCATTGCATGAAATCATGGCCTCTTTTTAGCCAACATTTAACAACTTGATATATTCTAACATCTAACATTTCCCCTCCTTTTGTTTTGAACTGTCAAGTACTTTCCTGCACAGGCTCATCATTTAAGTCTGCAAAATTTGCTGGCAAGATTCATTCATTCTCTCCTTGGCTCTCCCTTTGTATTCCCATACTACTCAACCTCGCTGTCTCTTCATATATTTTGCCTTTGTATATAATTTGTACATTAGAAAAATCCCTCTATGCAAATTTTCACCCTTACCACCTCTTTTTTCATCATTCCACTACCTTCCACATCATTCCTCCTACCACCCTCACCCACCATCATAAAGCCACAAACTTCTGTTGGATACTCTAGCACTGCATTCTTAAATTTACTCCATACCCACATTTCTTCAACATATGCTTATAACTTCCAATAACTGTCTTCTCCTCTAGTTCATATACTTTATTTCTTTCTTACCACTCATCCCATTCTCCATCTGCCGCTTACTCTTTTCTCTTAACGTGGCTACCGCTAGATAATGCTCAAACATATCAATCATTCCTCTACAAACATTCACATATCACCTTTTATTTACTAATAGATTCTAGCTAAGTGCTGTCATTGCATACTATATCATCCCTTCTTATACTTATTTTCTTTTCTCTTTTAATAACACACTAATTATTAGGAAGTCTAACATAATGCAATTAAAGGCACTTCCATTATTATTTACCTTTGGAACTCCAAATTTACATCAACACTCCAATTTCAAAATTTAGGTCCCCCCACAACTATTACTCTCACCTGGTTAAACACTCCCTAAACATTTGTTTAATACCTCTCAAAATCTCTCTCTCTCCTTAGCACTTTTCTCACTTACTTCTTACCTCCCACTGTTACCCAAATCCACATTATTCTTGTATCTTTTTTTTTTTTATAACTGATCCTTTGAAAAGTATACTTACTATAGCTCTAATTGCTCCACATACACTTGATTTAATCCCATTTACTCTCCACTGTAATTCCCCCCCCCCCTCCCTGCTTTTAGCTTTGTTTTACTTAGTACTAGGACATCTATCTTCTTTTCATTCATAATATATTTCATTCTGACTTTTTAGTATCCAATATAGAAAAGGGGATCACTGCTGTTTGTTTGTGCCATTTTAGTCACTTTACACATTACTTATGAAGGAAGGATTCTAACCCGTTTTCCCATGTAATTTAAATTATTTATTATTAAAATTAAATTAAGAGCTAAATCCACAAGGGTCATGGATTTGAAAGGAAACACTATAAACTCAAGAACCATTACAAAAATTTAGAAGAAAACTCAAGATAAGCATGCACACGTATATAAATGCACCATCACATACGTAGTGTATACTGGGTGCAAGAAGTGGTTTGCAAGATTTGACCTCTTTGAGACACAAGAGATCAGCATTCCTGCTAGTGTAAAACATTTAAAAATTTCCATTTAATTATCATGAATAGCTATTGCCATTCGAATTCAGTCTACTTCATATTTAGTACAGAAAAATCCAGGGACAATAAAGTCAAAATTCCCTTATTAAACAAGTAAATTATGCTGCAGATATTTGTGTAACATACCTTCAAACAATTTCAAACATGGCAATTAGATTACAATGCTGTATAAATAAACATGCACACAATTCAGGCTATGATAAAAGTAGATAGTAGTCTAAAGGAAAAACCTGCGATAAGTAAAAAAAAAAATATTATATTTATATAATATACAATTCAAATTCTTGTAAAATTTCATAACTTACTTCTTCAAAAGTGTCTCCAGTTGATCTTGACTCCAGAGAACTTCTTTAAGTCCCTGAAGACAGTGTCGTGCAAGGGTTTTGAAGCAGACTCGGCGGCAATTGTTATGTTGGTTGGAGTCCCAAATGGGAGTTGCACGTACATAAGACCATGCAAGGAGGGTATAGTCCACCAGACTCATCCACTGTTCAGCTTCCACTAGCTGAGTGCACTGATCTTCAATGATTTTCTGCAAGGAAATATATATATCATATACAGTAAATGTCTGATAAAATGGACCTCCATAAACATGTAACAGCTAAAACAAACAAAAAACCTGGCTAAAGCCTCAACATGTGCATTTAATGTAGGACACACAATGACACCACCAACTTCCAGAGATTGTAACAAAATGTAGAAGGGTGCAACATCCAGAATATGAGGCCTCAGATTTCAAGAACATAAATAGCCTACTGTCAAGCAGACTAAAATAATGCCTGCATATAACATAGGACAGTACAGGGACACAAAAAGTGCAATGACATCAAATGAAAAACTCGTGAAAAGAATTCATGTAGATACAAGTGTTTGAAAGCAGTAATGACGGCACTCATCAACACATTACAGTAGCAGAGGAAGCCAGTGCGAATAATTACCAGATAAATAAATTGCCATATTAAAACTACAGCCTCTCCTCATATGGCGGCGTGCTCGTTTATCGACGTCTCAGACTTACGACAGGCTCTCTGACTAGTATTCATACCTAATGTATATTAGAACTGATTTCCTCTATTCTGTAAGTTTCAATACACAGCCTCTCCTCACTTAACGATGGAGTTAGGGGCCTAAGACCCTGTCAGTAAACAATTTCACTGCTGATCAAGGAGTCACCTCTTACTGACACTTCAAAAGTGTCACCACCCAAAATTAAAACATTCAGATTTATGTTTGCTGGGAAATTCCTTTCAATCTGTTCATTATTAACGGTAATACAACATGAAATTATTAATAGTAATACAACATGAAATAGGTCAATGACTTACTTCCGAGATATTCCAGGAAACGTGTGCATAGCTGACTGCTTGGGATTTTTTTAGTTTCGTGAAAATTGCACTTTTTTCAGTCTTTACACAAGGTAAGAATGATTTTCTATAGTTACCCTTCAGGCGCATAACGTTTTCTGTTATGGTCGCAGTCACTTTTTTTTTTTATCCCTCCCGGCCCGCCACTCTTCAATACCTCTCTATATAATGTCAGTTTTTATTAATTTTGGCATCTTTATCATGCTTCTACGTTATTTATGTTATATATATATATATTTTTTTAACAAGTCGGCCGTCTCCCACCGAGGCAGGGTGACCCAAAAAGAAAGAAAATCCCCAAAAAGAAAATACTTTCATCATCATTCAACACTTTCACCTCACTCATACATAATCACTGTTTTTGCAGAGGTGCTCAGAACACAGCAGTTACGAAGCATATATGTATAAAGATACACAACACATCCCTCCAAACTGCCAATATCCCAAACCCCTCCTTTAGAGTGCAGGCATTGTACTTTCCATTTACAGGACTCAAGTCCGGCTATATAAAAATAACTGGTTTCCCTGAATCCCTTCACTAAATATTACCCTGCTCACACTCCAACAGATTGTCAGGTCCCAAATACCATTCGTCTCTATTCACTCCTATCAAACACGCTCGTGCAAGCCTGCTGGAAGTCCAAGCCCCTCGCCCACAAAACCTCCCTTACCCCTTCCTTCCAACCTTTTCGAGGATGACCCCTACCCAGCCTTCCTTCCCCTACAGATTTAAATGCTCTCCATGTCATTCTACTTTGATCCATTCTCTCTAAATGACCAAACCACCTCAACAATCCCTATTCAGCCCTCTGAATAATATTTTATTAACTCCACACCTTCTCCTAATTTCCACACTCCGAATTTTCTGCATAATATTTACACCACACATTGCCCTTAGACAGGACATCTCCACTACCTTCAACCGCCTCCTCGCTGCTGCATTCACAACCCAAGCTTCACACCCATATAAGAGTGTTGGTACTACTATACTTTCATACATTCCCTTCTTTGCGTCCATAGATAACGTTTTTTGTCTCCACATATACCTCAACGCACCACTCGCCTTTTTTCCCTCATCAATTCTATGATTAACCTCATCCTTCATAAATCCATCATCCGACACGTCAACTCCCAAGTATCTGAAAACATTCACTTCTTCCATACTCCTCCTCCCCAATTTGATATCCATTTTTTTCTTTATCTAAATCACTTGATACCCTCATCACCTTACTCTTTTCTATGTTCACTTTCAACTTTCTACCTTTATACACTCCCAAACTCATCCACTAACCTTTGCAATTTCTCTCTAGAATCTCCCATAAGCACAGTATCATCAGCAAAAAGCAACTGTGTCAATTCCCATTTTGTATTTGATTCCCCATAATTTAATCCCACCCCTCTCCTGAACACCCTAACATTTACTTCTTTTACAACCCCATCTATAAAAATATTAAACAACCATGGTGAAATTACACATCCCTGTCTAAGACCTACTTTTACCAGGAAGTAGTCTCCCTCTCTTCTACACACCCTAACTTGAGCCTCACTATCCTCATAAAAACTCTTTACAGCATTTAGTAACTTACCACCTATTCCATATACTTGCAACATCTGCCACATTGCTCCCCTATCTACTCTATCATATGCCTTTTCTAAATCCATAAATGCAATAAAAACTTCGCTACCTTTATCTAAATACTGTTCACATATATGCTTCAATGTAAACACTTGATCTACACATCCCCTACCCACTCTGAAACCTCCTTGCTCATCCGCAATCCTACATTCTGTCTTACCTCTAATTCTTTCAATAATAACCCTACCATACATTTTTCCTGGTATACTCAGTAAACTTATTCCTCTATAATTTTTACAATCTCTTTTGTCCCCCTTTCCTTTATATAAAGGGACTATACATAAAATTACCGCTTCCCTTTCTTCCTCAACATTTAAAAGTTCCTCAAAATATTCTCGCCATCTACCCAAAACCTCTGTTTTTAACTGACAAATCCATTCGTTCTCTAGGCTTTCTTAACTTGTTTAACTCGCTCTAAAATTTTTTCTTATTTTCATTAAAATTTCTTGACAGTGCCTCTCCCACTCTATCATCTGCTCTCCTTTTGCACTCTCTCACCACTCTCTTTACCTTTCTTTTACTCTCCATATACTCTACTCTTCTTGTAACACTTCTGCTTTGTAAAAACCTCTCATAAGCTAACTTTTTCTCTTTTATCACACCCTTTACTTCATCATTCCACCAATCACTCCTCTTTCCTCCTGCACCCACCCTCCTATAACCACAAACTTCTGCCCCACATTCTAATACTGCATTTTTAAAACTATTCAAACCCTCTTCAACCCCCCCCCCCTACTACTCATACTTGCACCAGCCCACCTTTCTGCCAATAGTTGCTTGTATCTCACCCAAACTTCCTCCTCCCTTAGTTTATACACTTTCACCTCCCTCTTGCTTGTTGTTGCCATTTTCCTCTTTTCCCATCTACCTCTTACTCTAACTGTAGCTACAACTATATAATGATCCGATATATCAGTTGCTCCTCGATACACGTGTACATCCTGGAGCCTACCCATGAACTTTTTATCCACCAATACATACTCTAACACACTACTTTCGTTATGTACTATATCATACCTTGTATATTTGTTTATCCTCTTCTTCATAAAATATGTATTACTTATTACCAAACCTCTTTCTACACATAGCTCAATTAAAGGCTCCCCATTTTCATTTACCCCTGGCACCCCAAATTTACCTACTACTCCCACCACATTTTTCCCACTTTAGCATTTATGTTATACCTAATATTATTATGGAATAAATATGATAGTAATAGTATAATTATACAGCATTTGATAGTGCTGTGAGCTTACACATCCGTACATCATGGTGAAGCATGAGATACTGAGAGACATTGCTGGCACCTACTCCCTCTCTCTCGTAATAGCCCCGCACACCCTCCAATACCTCTCCATATTCGTCAGTTTTTATTAATTTGGGCGTCTTTATCGTGCTTCCACTGCCTAGTTACTATGGCTTGAAATCCTGTCAATGCTTTCACTACCTCTTTCACTCTATCTTTACCCTTCAAGATAGTGGGAATGATAGAATGCACCAGCTTCAAGTCATTGGCTATCACTTGCACTTTCTAACCAGCTTCATGCTCATTTATAATCTTCATTTTCACCTCAAGATTGAGAGCCTTCCTTTGTTTCTTGGTGCTTCCTTGAGGTGAAGTCAAGATCTTCCTTTTTGCTGACATCTTGTAATATGATATGCATAATAAAGTGCAAATTTGTACAAATATGTAGTCTTGGAGACAGTGAAAGCTAGTGTATTCAGTGGCTGTAGGAAGCAAACTGAGATACTTGACGCTGAGACGCTGCGCTGCCTGTTTCCATGACCCAAGTTCTCATATGGCATAAAATCCTAATAATAATAATAATAAAAGACTGATAATATAATCATAAAAATAATAAATAATCACTCTGGAGTGGTTTAAATGTCATACGTATTTTGTATAGGTTTGGCAGCTGACACTTAAACCACTCCAGAGCGATGATTATTATTATTATTATTACCATCCACAAGCCTTGTTCACTGAGTTGAATCATTTATTAAGCTGCCATGAGAGAGAGAATGTAATAATAATAGTGTAATAATAATAATAATAATAATTAATAACTAATAACAATCACTCTGCAGTACTTTAAATGTCAGCTATCAAGTACAAATTTACAGACGAAATATGTAGTCTTGGAGATTGCTTGATACTGAGGCCCATCACTAACCCATTTACAATGAACTTCTATTGTACTTCTCCCATTTAACTCTTCCAAGTGCTGCTGCACTTCTATCTGTAAGAAGGAGATTGAGATGCTTGATGCTGAGACACTGTGCTGCCCATTTCCACAACCCAAGTTCTTGTATGACATACAATACTGACTCGCCGGAGAGCCCGTCGTAAGTCCGAGTTGTCGGTAAACGAGCAAGTCAGTAAGTGAGGAGAGGCTGTACAGTACACTACTGTATAAACATTTAAAAATATACCAGAAATGTTATAAATAGTGCAAAGGTAACATTAAAACAATATCAAAGATGGCTGACACAAACTCATTACCATTATAGTATGCTCCTCACTTAGCGATG